GCGTGGGGCCTAAGGGAGTCCAACACACAAGAGAGATTTTTGCGGGCCCCAGGGTCAAAAGTCCAAAAATCACGCCGGTATTGTTCGCGGTGCTGGAGCAAATCCGCAGGGAGCTGACGAATATGGTTAGGGGTCACCAACACCTCAGGGGGCTCACCAAGGTCGTATCTCAACCAATCGTGGACTCTCTTAGCGCCTCGTGGCAGAGCGCGAAGGAGCCAATTCTTCATGTTGGCTCTCGAGGTGGCCTTAGCTTCACGCCGGGCGGACGCAAGAGAGGCTGAGACGGCGGCCGATAGATCGTCCATCGCACCAATCTGGTTAGGCGGGCAACTAAGCTGCGCCTGCCACCAGTCGATGCCTCGAATGTCGTCGGCCAACAAAAATGCAGAAATCTTCTCAGCTAAACCTTGGAGGACGCTAACTAAGGCAGTGACCGTGCACTTTGGCTTGCCTTGCGAGCGGTATAGAGGCGGTATTCCCACAACTTCTGAGAAAGATGAGTCCAGAAAGCCAATCCAGGAGATCGAAAGCTCTGTCCAATCGGGCCGCGTCTCCTGATGCTATTCTGCCGAAAAGTAGGGAAGTCGCCTCTATGTGTGCCAGGTAAATCATCAACCACAGCACAGGCACTGGAAGCATAAAGGTACTCAGTAGTTCGAGACCAGAGCAAATAAGCAGTCGAAATATTCGTGGAGAGATGGTCCGCCACATGTGCAATCAGGGCATCCCCAAGGAATCCAGGGACCCTAGGAGGGCCAGGATCAGCAACACGTTCCAGAATAGCTTCCCAAGGAAGATCGGGTCCAGGACAAACAGGGAACTGGGGTGGACGACATCTCTGCCACAGCTCTTGTTCCAGAGCCTCGTGTTTCAAAGTAACAGACAGACAGCAGTGGGTCTTAAATGGGCTGGGGTCGAAAGATTTCACATCCAACAGATACGCCAACTCATTAGAAGTAACCACATAGTCAATCATAGACCCTCTGCCCTGTGCACAAGTAACTTCAGCGTTAGTAGGAGTGCACACTCTACCTCGAGCAAGTTGAGGAAATCCACTACGATCAAGATCGATGGCAGGAATGTTAAAGTCATCCATCAAACACCAAGGGATAGATAGCGTGCCTAAGAACTCCGAGACGGAACGGAGACGTTCGATATTCTCCCCACAGACACCCAGGTCCGAAATCAGGTAGATCGTTCCACAGCGATGACAGCTCGCTGAGTCCTTAATTCAAGGAAAAACCAATTGGGGCCTGAACCCACATCCTGGAGGCCTTTCTCAGAGGCCAGGAAACGCCGAAACGCAAGTCCCTTGGACACAACAGCACCTACTCCTCCATGCGTTCCCCCTCCAGGGGAGGGGAGGGCAGGGTAAAAGTGCGGCCTCCAGCCGATTTGCGCTGCATTGCGCTTTGCCTTCTTCACTGCTTCATGCCGAAGATGTGTTTCTACAAAGAAAAACCCGTCAGAGATCGGCCTGAGCTCCTGGCAGAAATTCAGGGCGACCTCATTCCATGATGTGATATTGCAGAAATGAAGGTTGATCTCACCAGGCGTTGATCGACCTCTGGACGCACGACAGCGCTCTTGTTGACACCGATTCCGTAGGTGAGAAGGGAGGGCGCTAGGAGCACTGCGGTAGCCCCTCTGAGCCCGACGCAGGCCAGGGGGCTGGTGGTCCGAGGGGTCCGCCTGCTTGCAACTGTTGAAGAACCCGCTCGCATGAAGCCGTTGCACCTTCACGAACGGTACGTAACCTTTTGGTTGCCTTGATCTGGGACTGCTTCTGCATGAGTTTCTCCATCTTGTCAAGTTCCTCAGGCGTGAGTGTATTGTCAATGCTCCGCTTCTTGAGGGTATGGAGCTCCATTCTGGCATCATCATTCGTGGCCTCACTAGGAGCGTCAGACATAGCATCATCATCCATCTGAGCTTGGAAGGCCTTGATCTGCTGCCAGAACTCGTAGCGCTGGTAGTGCTGGGTGCACCAGGCGCGGAGAGCAGCTTCATCCATACCCTGAAGATTGGCTGGAACAGGAGGGACTTGCCGAGGCTCACCACCAGCAGGTGCCTCACGATCACCACCGCCAGCAGGAACAGCGCCTTGACCAGGGACAGCACGAAATCCTGCACCCGCTTGTTCTGGCTGCCGAGCCTGAGCACGTGCAGCTTCAGCAGCTGCATCTCGTTGGGCACGAACAGACACTTCACGTTCTGCCCGTTCGTCAGCCAGGATCTGCTTACGATACTCCACTGGGTCGAAAGAATCCATTTGATCATATGCGGCACGGTGAGCAGCTGCGGCTTGCTCGAGCTGACCGACCGCCTCCGCATGCATGGCTTCAGCCTTGGCCAAAGCTTCCTTGTGCCGAACCACTGCGGCCAGCTTCTGCTCGACATCGTACAGGGCCAGCCGCTCAGCTTTAGAATCGCGTTCAACGGCCATGGCAAGGGCAGTGCGACGTTTCGCAACCTTCTTATCCAGGTCGTTGTCTGACGAGGCAGGTACTTCAGGCGGTGGAGGTGGAACAACGCAGCCAACACCGCGTAGAGCTTCAGCACGTTCAGGGAAAAGGGCAGCAAGCCGCTCGAGTTCAGCATCGAACGAAGTTCCATCTCCTTTGACTTTAGACTTGCCACGACCATGGCCATGACCATCATCAGCACCACGTACGCCACCGTCAGAAAGAACATGATACTCGCCTTGACATTTAGAGCAACAGGGGTGCCCGTGGGACACAGATTCCCAATGCCCGCACTTCGAACACACACGGTACGGTTTGTGCAGGACCTTGGAAGGACGACCACCGTTGCGGCGAGGTTGATGTTTGACCCAAGGTGCATAATACCAGGCCATCTCCCGCGCAGAAAGGGAAGTGGCGGATTGCTCCAGCAGGAGCTCACAAAAGACGAAATGGTTGCAGGCTCAGGCCAGAGCCAGGTGCGAGAAAGACTGAAAAAAGCCTGCTGCAGGCGGAACAACTCGGGCCTGCCCCTTGAGCCAAAATGGCTACGGGGGCCGGGCGGTGTCCCGGGTGTCCCGGGTGTCAGTAGGAGCGAAAGTCCGTTTCCCGTCCGCCGGTGGCTGGGAGGTGTCCCAGTTGGGCCAGGCGGTGTCCCGGGTGTCCCGGGTGTCCCAGCCGGGCCGGCTGGAGGTCAGTCAGGATTTGGCATTTGATCTCGATCCCCCCCAAACCTCCTTATCGCCCGCAGGGCGGTCGTATTGGTATTTCAACATGTTCGCTTCGTGGGCCATCTTGGAGGTCATCCAAGAGCGCTCCGAAAAGAGGTCTCAAAACAGCTCTTGGCGCATACACGTGTTCGAGGATGTCGCAGGCGAAACGGCAATGTTTGAGGGGCGCGCGTCCGAATCGGTGAAGCGCTAATTAGGGCCACCCTTTTGGAAGACGGAACATCGCCAAGACCTTCAAAACGGCCCCAACACCGCCCAGGACGGCTTCAAGACGCCCCAAGAGACCCCCCAAGACGGCCACAGGTTGCCCCTAAGACGGCTGCAGACGTTCCCAGGAGGCGCCCAGGAGCGCTCCAAGATGCCTCCGAGAACGGCCTTTTCTCAGAAACTCTTTCCCGGACTCCCCCCGGGACCTTCCCGGACCCTTGTCAAATAGTTTGCAGGCTACGGAAACGTCAATTCGTCGAACGGTCAGTGCGTAAAGAAAAACAAACATTAGACTAAAGTGGGAAGTGTTACGGCGTGGGGGTAGGGGGAAGGGTAGACCCCTCCCCGAAGGAGAAGAAGGGCGTTGGACGAGGAAACACCCTAAACCACTCACGCCCTGAAGGGCTGGTGGGACTTGAGGAGCTCTCATGTGGACTAGACAGGCCGTCTTGAGGCTGCCTTGGGCTGCTGTGGGCCAGTCTCGAGGGTCCCTTGGGGCCGTCTTGGGACGCTCGCGCTGCCGTCCGGGAATCTCCTGGTGCGCTCTTGGCTCGTCTGGGGGCCGCCCTGGCAGCCTCGGGAAAGAGGGCCAGTGCACGCTGGCAAACGCGTCGAGAGGGGGAGGGGCCCTCAAAAAGATGCACAGAGGCCCTGCCAGACAGCAGTTGACATTCCACCACGCCTCAACGTGCCAGGGGGCACGGTGGTGGTAACCAGCCTCGAGCTCATCCCTACCCCCCAGACTGGCAAGCCTGATGCGCCCTCAGAAACTGAGGGAACCCTTCGCATCGAGGGAAGGCGATGCCCATAATAGGGACAGGGATTTGTTTCAGGCTGTTGAGGTGGAGCGTCGTCTTTCTGATCCCTCTTCTCCCCCCCCCGTGCTTCCGCGTGTGCTCCTCCTCTTCTCCATGGGCGGCGCTGCTACAGGCGCTCCTCCTCCTCCTCCTCCTCCTCCTCCTCCTCCTCTTGACTGGGCTGGGACTGGGATCGATCTTCAGCGTGGCCTTGCACTGTTCGGGTTCGGCTCTCGGGCTGAAGCTTCTTCTCCTGGGGCTTGGGCGCGGGAGCGCCGTCGGCAGCTCGCGCCGCCCCCCGATGACCTGGACCCCCAACTCCACTGGGGTTTAGTCGGCGTGCATGTGAATGTGTTGGCACCTTTCCAGCCGTTGCCGAGTTCCTCCTTCTCCTCCTCTTCCTCTCCAGGGCCTTGGCATCGCTCGGACGTGTGCATTTTTCCCTCGGCGAGGCCCATCGAGGAGCATCCTTGACCATTTGGCGAAGCAAACACGCACGAAACCGAAAAAAAACACGGAATGGACGTCCGAGCGATGGCGAGGGGCACGCGCGTGTCCGAGCCGGCGGTCGCTGGCAGCGCTGCTCTGGCAGTTGCCGCGGCCACCTTTTAGAGGATCAAGAGGTCATGATTCTGCCACGTTCCAAAAGTCATAGGATTTCCCGGACCTCCTCTCCCAGGAGTCTCAAGATGTGCCCGATTGTTCCGCACGGGCTCCAGGAGCGAGGGCCGCTAGATGCTCTTTGGAATTCCTGGATCGCATCTTGGGCCAATCGCGTCATGACGTTATCATTCTGACTCTGGCTCAGGCGATCCAGCTTCGAGTTGGCACTTCTGCGTTTTGCCACGCCCGGCCACAAGATGGCGCCCCGCACGCGCCAGCCTCGCAGCAGCCTCTTTACCTACGTTGTGCTCGGCGCGCTCGCCGCACAGCTGCTGGTTGACCTGGAGGTGTCCGACTTTGTCGACGGAGAGACCCACGCGGCGTTTGCGGCCCCTCGCACCGCCACCTCCGCCAGGACCTCAGAGGAGGAAGAGGTACCGATGCCGCTACCCGTGCCTTGTGTTCGCCCCTTGGGGCCTTCTGGCAGCCCTCGTCGCCACGGCTGGGTTCGCAACGAAACTCTTGTCAGAAGAACGCACCCCGTGACCCGTGACAGGTTCAAGGAGTACGGTCAGGAATTTTAGGATGGCTTGTCGCTCCGCCTGCTCTGGCCCACCACGCTTCGGCGCGACACGCGATCCAACTCCCAGCCCCAGGGCGTCAACGTCCCGAGCCTTTCCGAGCCTCCCGCCCCGTTGGGCGGGGCGACAAGTTGTCCGCTCGCATGGCACAGCATGTCGCCGGGGCCGCCGCGGCGACATGCTATGCAAAAGTTCGCGACCGTAGCGGTCCCGGTACCCTCCAGTCTCCCGAGGACTGCCGTGGATGCCCTTGCGGCGAAGACGCTCACGCGCAGCATCGAGGGTCCGCAGAGCGGCCGCCAGCGCCCCGGGGGCCGCACTACGGCCCACGCGGCTGCGCCGGTGACGAGCATCACGCAGAAGGCGTCGGCATGAAGGAAAGGCAGGGTCCATTTCGATTCGATCAAGCCGATTTGATATCGATCCTGGCAGGTTGGATGCTTCGATTCCGATGTTCCGACGATCCGATACGGCCAGATGTTTGCATGGCGTCGTTGTGCATCTTGGCGCAGCCGATCCCGATCGATTTCGATTCCGTGCCGATGCAGGCCGATGCGATGCACCTTTCGAGTCGATCCAATTTACCGAGTCGATGCTGGCTGGTCTCAAAAGGGTCCCAGGCCGCCCAAACGGGATCGAAGTAGATGGGGTCGGTGGATCGACATGTAACCCGATGTTCTCCACGCCGTCGTCGCCGATGTGTCGCCGACGTCGCCGATGCATGTGCGATGCATTGGCGATGCGGCGCGATCCTCCGACCCATCTGCTCGGGCCCCATCTGGGAGGCCTGAAGAGGTCCTGACGGAAATGGGTGAAAACGGTTCAGGGCGAAAAGTTGGTCCCGAGAAAAGTTCCAGGGTCCAGGACACGTTTCCTTCAGGGCCCTCTTACTTCGTGCCAGAGGTGATCAACGCCATGGGCGCGGGCGCAGTCGCCTCCGTCATCCAAGCAGCGCTCTCGGCGGTGGGCGAGCCTATCGTGAACCGCGTGCTCGTGAAGCGCATGAAGATCATGGAGGCGATCAACGACGTGAGTGCTGCACAGATGCTCAACTTCTTCAAGACGACGCTGGCCACGAATTTCCTCAAGTTCCCGTTCTTCGAGGCCATCAATGCCTTCTGCGCTGCATTCCCCATCAGCCCGACCTACCGTGGCATCTTCACGGGCTTCGTCTTCACCACGGCTACCCTCCCGGTCACGAACTACAGGTACCGTAAGTCGATGGATTTGGAAGTAAATTGGGCTAACATCTATGAGGCCTACCCGCCCACGGTCATCCGCGACATCGTGTATGGCATCGCCCGCAACTACTGCACTATCGCCGTGCTCGGTCTCAACTCGGCGTGGTCGATCACCTCGCCTGAGGTGTTGTTCATTGTCGTGATCCTGGGCTGCATTATCTCGGCACCCTTCAATGAATGGCGCGGCTATCTCCTGCAGTCCAAGGGCCAGGAGCTCACATTCAAGGAGTTTTTCAAGCCATCGAACTTCGTGCGCTCCACCTCGCTCGGGGCGATCAAGCAAGGCGCGCGCGCGCGGAGGAGCAGCAGCAGCAGCAGCAGGAGGAAAGAGGGGGAAGAAGGAGGAAACGGGAGGGAGGAGCAGCAGTATTGGACTGGTAAGTCCGAGTCGTGCGGTCACCAGCCTTGGCTCGATTTGTCGCGCCGCCGGTTTGGGCCCACCATCAGGCCTCTGCGCGACACGCTGACCACGTCCCCGTCCCCGAGCGTCAACGCCCCGATCCTCTCCGAGCCTCCCGCCCCTCGGAGCGGGCCGACAGGCTGTATGCGCGTGCAGGGCACGGCGTGTCACCTGGGCCGCCGCCCTGACATGCTAAGCAAAGGTTCCCGACCGTAGCTTGACAGGGTACCCTTTATGTTCGTCCTGTGTGGGTCCCCTACGTCCTCTACAGTGGAGTGCCATCTGTTCGGGTAAATCTCCGCGGGGCCTTGGGTCTTCGAGGGAGGGGCACGTGCTCTTCACCCACGCTCTTGTGGTAATGCCTCGACTGCAGAAGCAGGAGGAGATGGAGGAGGAGGAGGAGGTGGTGGAGGAGGAGGAGGTGGTGGAGGAGGAGGAGGAGGAGGAGGAGGAGGTGGGGCAGCAGGAGGAGGAGGAGAGGAGGAGGAGGAGGAGGGAGGAGGAAGAGGAGGAGGAGCAGGAGGAGGAGGAGGAGGAGGAGGAGCAGCAGCGAGGCTTGGCGCTTGCTCTGGGCTACTGGTGCGCACCGCCGGCGACGAGGATGGTTGCTGGCCTCGTCGCCTCCATCAAGGGCGCCTTCTGAGACGGCGCCTGGGGGCGGCCGCCCCGGAGCGCGCCCCACGCGCCAGCCGCTGGCCCCATCCGCTTCCACATCCTGCCCCCTCCTTCTTGGGATGGAAGAAGGAGGAGGAAGAGGAGGAAGAGGAGGAGGAGGAGGAGGAGGAAGAGGAGGAGGAGGAGTCAGGGAGGAGGAGGAGGAGTCAGGAGGAAGAGGAGGAGGAGGAGGAAGGAGGAGAGGAAGGAGGAGAAGGAGGAGGAGGAGAGAGGAGGAGGAGAGAGGGAGGATGAGGAGGGTGGAGACGGTGGAGGAGGGAGGAGGGAGGAGGGAGGAGGGAGGGAGGAGGAGGAGGAGGAGGGAGGAGGGAGGAGGGGGAGGAGGGAGGAGGAGGAGGGGGAGGAGGGAGGGAGGGAGGAGGGAGGAGGGAGGAGGGTGAGGAGGAGGAGGGGAGGCCATCCATCCTAAAAAGGGATGGGTGCCGGGGAGCTTGCTGGAGGAGGAGGAGGAGGGGGAGGAGGAGGAGGAGGAGGAGAGGGCCGAGCTTTAGCATCGAGGTGCTCATCGGTTTCTGGCGCGTTTGGCCCTCGTGGAGGGCCTCTGCAGCCCCCTTCTTGGGACCTCTGGTGGTCAGGCCCCAGGACGGAACTAAAGCTCACACGTCTTCCCTCCTCGTCCTCGTATTTGTTCTCCTTCCCTCCCTTCCTCCTCATCCTCCTCCGCCCTGATTTCCTCCTCCTCCTCCTCCTCCTCCTGTTCCTCCTCCTCCTCCTCCTCCTCCTCCTCCTCCTCCTCCTCCGCCTTCTCCCGCTCCTCCTCCTCCCTTCCGTAGCCATTTGGGCTCAAGCCATCTTGGTTCCAGGTGTCCGTTTGCCCGCGGCAGAGCAAGGATACCGCTAGCCTGCGGCGGGCAAGGCTGTTCAGCTTGGTAGTTATCATGTGCATTCACTGCGGGGTTTGGGCTCCCGTACATCTGTGCCTTCATTTCGGCGTTGGGTTGCCGAGCTCTGAGTTGTTCATCGTTCTCACTGCGACCACGAGAGTGACGCCTGTCGAATCGTCTCTAAAGCATGGGAGGCAGGAGGGGAGGTAACAATAGTAAATAATATGGCTTGTCGAGGAGATCCCGAACTCGTTCGGGCAGTCGCTCGCGGGCAGCATCAATCCGACAGCGACGGGGACGGCATGATGATCCTCTCCGAGACCCGTGCGTCCAGGAAGGAGCGCAACGAGAAGACGGAGATCGTGTCAGCGATGCGAGATCAGCCCGAGCAACATGACCTGACGACCGCCAGCATTGAGTCAGCTCAAGACCACCGGCTCGCCCTAGCAGGAACGCATTGAAGCAGCTGTGCTTTCCGCTGTTGGTGATTAGTTCGACGCAAGAATCGGCCTCATCGAGTCCACGCCCGCCGAGGTCCAGAAGTCACCGCCAGCTGATCGTCGGGCGCGGGATGGGTTTCGGTGTTCGTTTTCCGCCGGCACCTTGTACTGCGAGCTCTTCGGCTTCGAGGCGCTCGACTGAGAACAACCAAATGCCCTTCAACATTGGCCATGATTGACAATGTATGGGGGGCACGTCTGACCGTACCAAGGTATGGGTGGGTGGTTCCCCGAGACCGATGATTGCAATCGTTCGTTTTTGTCATGCTGACACCATCAAGGCCGCCACGCGCCAGGACCAGCAGCAGCAGCAGCAGCAGCAGCAGCTCGAGTTTCAAGAACCTCAGCCAGTCTTATTTCTTCAAGGTCGCCAACGAAGGTCTCGCCAGGTCCTTCTGTGGAGGTGACCAAGATCCAGAAATCATCGTGGACGGACCTCAAGACAGGTTGCGCGGTTCCCTTTCGAGCTCCATTCGACGCACCTCAGCATGCACGTGAGAAGCAGAAGATCTCGGGACGCATCTGGGCCAGCATCCAGACCCACTCGGCCGAGCAGCAAATGAAGCACGACGGCTGGCAGCTCGGGCGCAATGGATACCAAGGCATGCGGTTCATCAAGACTGTCGAATGTGAGGGGGTGGCGGTTCCTCGCCGACGCCGACGGGGCCAGTGCACCATCGAACCGAATGAGGATAATTGAATCGCTTCGCTCACTCCGCCGGCCCATACAGTCTCATGTCTGCCGTTTGCCCGAGGGCCTGGTGTCAATGCGGCGCTTTGGGGGTTCTTTTGCCAGGCGTCTCGGGAACCTCTTGGAGGCAGTGTTGAAGCCTCTTGAGGCCCCGTAAGGGCCGTTTGGGGGTCGTTGGGGCTTCTTGTTGGGCTTCTTGGGTGGTTCTTGGGGCGTCTTGGGGGACTTATTGGCGGGATGTTGGTGGCTTCTGAGGTGCTCCTAGGGGCAGAATCCCCCTTTGGGCGCCTCTTGGGCGGTCTTGGTGCTCTCTTGTGCCGTCTTGGGGTTATCTTGGGCCGTCTTGGGCCGATTTTAGCGGATTGTTGGGCTGTCTCGGGGCGATGTTGGGGGCTATTTGCGTAGTCTGAGGCGCTGTGAAACTCGAAACGCCGTTCATGCGGGAAGTGTACATGTTCCTCTGGGAATGGGACGATTTTTGATTGTAATGGCCGTCTTGGAGGGCCTCTTGAGGCTCTCTTGGGGCTTCTTGGCGGCCTCGACGGCAATTTTGAGGTCATCTTGGGCGATTTGGAACGATTGTTCGGCGACTTGAGGCCGCTTGGATTGTTTCGGGGGCGTTCCGGTGCCGTTTTGGCGCGCTCCTGGAGCGTTCTGGGGGCATGAGCCGAACGTCGCGCTCTGGGCGGCGTGCGGAAGCCATTGTGTGAGAGGGCGCGGTGGTGAGAAGAACAGCTCACCCCACCCGGCTTTCCGGGCTTTCCGGCGTAAGGAGGGCTTCTTCGCGGCACTTGTGAACGCTCCTGGACAGTGCTTTTTGGGCAGGTTCTTGACGCTTGTTGCAAGTCTGTAGGGGCCCCGTTGGGAGTCTACCGAATGGAGAGCACATTGTAGCATCGCTTGCACTTGCTTGCGTGCTCGGGGGGGCATTTGGGGGGCCTCCTGGGGCCGCTTGGGGGACTCTTTGGGGCCTCCTGAGGGCCTCGTGGGGGCCTCTTGGGGCCTCTTAGGGGCCTCTTGGGGCCTCGTGGGGGCTTCTTAAGGCCGAGGGCTCGAAATGTTGTTTCGTGTTCCCTCTCTGGGGCCCCTTTGGGGGCGTTCTCGGGGCCCTTTTGGACCGTCTTGGAAGCTTCTTGGGCCGTCTTCGAGCCCTCTTGGGCCATCTTGGGGCCCTCTTGGGGGCCTCTTGGGCCCTCTTGGGGCGATCTTGGGGGCCTCTTGAGCCGTCTTGGGGCGTCGGGAAGCCGAAAAGGTGGAAGCTCCAAAATCTGTCAAAAACCTAAGGAAAAGCTATGAATTGTGCCTCCTGGGGCCCTCTTGGGAGTGCTCTTGGAGGCCTCTTGGGGCGTCTGGGGGCTATCTTGGGCGTCTTGGAGCGATCTTGTGGCATGTCGGACCCCTCGTGTACCATTTTGGGGGCCTCTTGGGGGCCTCTTGGCCTTTCTTGGGCTCTCGGGGACGTCTCGGAGCCCTGTTGGTGTGCTCATGGAGCGCTCTGGTGGAGTCGCCCGGGGATCAGCCGGGACCCGCCCGGGGTATTTTTCGCCCGGGGACCCCCAGGGGCCGCCCCGCGCGCGCGAACTGCACCATCGAACCGAATGTGGATAATTTAGCAGCTCGCAAGATCTTGGATGAGCAGACGGAGACTTTCGCGGACAAGGCGTTCGATGTCTCCCGCTGGGGTACCACGCAGCCGCCTCAGAGCGCAAGCGCCCCATTCTTGATGGGGACGTCTTCGAGAAGGCGGCAGGTCTACAGGCAGCAATTGGGAGCTGCTTCCGTCTCGCAGCGAGCGCCGCAGTCGCGCTCCAGCTAGTGCCACGTGCTCTTCTAGTTCTTCCTCCAGCTCTTCGTGATGCGACGAGTGCGATGACCCCAATGTCGATTTTCAGCCATAGTCGCAGCTTCAAGCCAGAATCCAGAAACTCGTTCGCCTCGCACAAGTTCGTAGCACCGCGCGCATCCAGTAGTTCCGCGGGAGTGAGTTCGATGTGGAGTCTCTCCACAAAGATCGAAAGGCTGTCCTGGGGTTCGGCCCATCTCTTCCATAATTATACCGCAGCTGCTGAGGGCCGCTGTTCCTTCCCGCGCTTGGGGGGCAGTTCACGGCACGGCACTCAGACACCAGGAGATCGCCCTTTGGCGCGCGCGAGCAGTTTTGCTTGCTGGTCGAGCTGGCACCCTCCAAATCAGCAGCGCCCATGATGAGCCTGGCCAAAGTGCCCTATCCTAGAAGGCCTATCTCAGCAGAGTTCGTGCAGCAGTGCCTCCGCAAGCACGAGCATCTTGTTCCGCCGTGGGAGACGCCGACTTCCGGTCCGAGGGCGCGGGCAGCGTCGCGGCGCAGGGTCGCATCATTCACCCCGACTGACAGGCCAGCATCGCACGTCATCTCTCTGTTTGGTGAGTTCGCCGATGTCGAACAACCGCTGCCCGCGCGCCGCGTCGTTCAGTCTGAGGGGTCAGGCCAGTCCAGAGCGCGCGCCGTCGAGGCAGAAGCCACGCCGACATGTGCAGCGCCAGCTGGGTCGACCTCTATCATTTTAGCTGCGTCTCAAGGTGGGCCCGCGACCTGGGCGAGTTATCCGACCGCGCCACTGCCCCCATCGTCTTTTGCTCTGGTGAACATCAGCGTCGTCTGGGGGACGCCCCCCCCCCCCCCGTCGTCGGACCTTGCCCGGGCCGCGATCGAGGCGAAAGACTTCGCGCGCGGGGCACCCTGCGCCGCGAGCAAAGAGCTCGAGCGCCGGGGGAGCCCACTCGGCCCAGGAGGGGATCTCGCGGGGGCTCGCGGCCACGAGGGGAGCCGACCGGGGCGAGTCCTCCATCCTCGAGCGCGCTCGCCGCCCACCCCCTCCCCCGCGCGTTCTCCGTCGCAGCGGGCGATGGGGCCCATGTCTGAGGCGGCAGGAATGCATTCCACGAGCGCGCGGCCGCGCGAATCCGCCCCGACATCATCCAGAATGAGCTCGAGGGGCCTCGGCCAACGAGCCCCCCCGAGCCCCAAAAGAAGCACTTCGGCGGACAACTGCATAAACATCGCTCCGCCTGGGCCTGCAGACAGCGCGCCGTCCGCATTTCGGGGTCTCTGACCCGACTGGGCAGCGCGTCGCGGTCTCCACCAACGTTTGCGAATCTTTGGCCGAGTACTGACGGCAGATGCACTGCGATTCGCCGGCCTGTCTTGAGACGGCGGAAGAGGCCGAGGTCTTCATTCATAAGGTGCCCGAGTTCATTGACGACAAGCCTGTCAATGTTGAGCTCATCCAGGCACTCTCGCGCGCGATGCGCCCTTGTCCTGGGCCCGACGGGACCCCCTACTCAGGCCTCGCGCGAGCTGGGAAGTTTGCTGCAGACGCCCTGAACGAGCTCTACTGTCACATCCTCGATGGTGGCGCGATCGGCCCCTCCTTCAACGAAGCCTTTGCTGTCCTTCTAGCCAAAGGGGGGCGGGCGGGGTCGTAGAGCTCGCTGCTCGGGCCCCAGACTGCGCGCGGCCCATGGACCTCGCCAGCGCCGATATCAAGTCGATCTGCGTCGCGTTGAATCACCCGCCAGCCTGCGCGTGCCAAGCGTGCGCCGTCGACTTCCAGAGGGGGTTCGTGCGCGCTCAGAGCTTGGCAGAAAATGCCATCGCCATCGGGGCCCGCGCCTTCCCCGGGTCAGCGCAGCGGGCCCACGAGGACGCGGGCTTCCTCCTGCGCGACTTCCGCGCAGCGCCCCCGCCCCTGAAGCACTCGTATCTACGCGGGGCGCTGGAACAAATGAAGGCCCCGAGGTCTGCGTGCCAGGCCATCGAAGCTCTGCGCTGCAGGTGCTCGGATATTTCGCCCAAGCCCCCCGGTGGAATCAGTCGGGGGTGCCCGATGCCAGGAAGTCTCTCTGCTTTGGTTATTGGGCCCCTGCTGCGGTTCACGGCTGGCGGCCTTCCTCCCCGCCGCGCAGTTGCTGGCGCGCGTGCGGATGGCTTTAGAGTTGCCGCTGCCGACGTCGTCGACCGTTGCTACCGTTACTTCTGGGTCGCTTCGGACGCTGCTGGCCGCGGCCCGAACACCCAGAAGTCCGCCCTCGCGCTTCCGATGGGGCCCGCCCCGGGTGCATGTTCAGGACAAGCTTCGGGAGGTTGGCGTCGCCGAGGCTGGCCTCAAAATCGCCTTGTCGGGGAAGTGCCTCGGGGCGTTCCTTGGGCGACAAAGTTTCTTTCAGTCTTGGATCGCCCCGACTACCAGGTACCTCTCCAGGACCACTGCTGCCAGGCTCCCCCGCCTGGGTCCGATCGAGAAGATCGCGCAATGCAGCGCGCCGCGCCCCCCCAGCCCGTCTCGCGCCGCACAGTTCTACGAGCCGACGGCCGCAGTCTCTCAGGACGAAAGGAGCGCGCTTGATCTCTTGGCGGGGTCCCCTGGAAGCCCGCGCACCCCAGCTCCGTCGCACGACCTCATGTCCGCCGGCTTTCAGGCCCAGGCAAGACATCTCGAGCGCGCGTCGAGGGCTACGTTAGATCGCTCCGCTGCGATTTGTGCAGATGGCTGCGGCATCGCTCGGAGGAGCAATTGTCTTTGGGCCTGAGAGGAGACCTCCTGCTTCCACCTCGACCCCAACTTCAGGCTGCCGAGCAGCGCCCCCCCCCACCCTGGCGCCCAAATGACCCAGAGGGCCGCCGAAAAGGTCCCAATGATACGAGGACCTCTCTCAGGGAAGGCTGTCCTCAAGCGTCGAGCTGGCCGCTTTCAAATATTTTCGGACCCCTCCCGAGGTGAGCTCCTGTGTCGGGCTTTCGCCTGTGTCCAAAAATTGGCCTCTCAGTGCGCGGTCGCACCCGTGCTGAGGATTGCGCGCAATGCGGGGTGCACCCCCGGGCGGTTCGGAGGTGCTCCGCAGGCGTGCCACTTCTGCCGGTGGGCTCTGGGAGGGTACCACAGAGTTCACCATGCAGCGCGTCCTGCCATCGAGGCCGTTCTTCCGCTCCGTCTTCTTCTTTCCCCATTCCTTCTTGGCCGCCCCTGGCCTCCCCCGTGTTGCTCTATTTCCTAGCTTTCCCGCTTCTGACTCTGCTATCGTCAGTGTCGCCGTGTTTTCGGCGCATTGCCCGCATTTCGTCGTTCCTACAGGAGCTGTGGAGGAGTTCGGGGGGGGAACTTCTCTCAGCTGCGCGCGGCCGGCTAAAATAGTTGGCGCGCCGTCGACCCTCTCTTTCTAGAGCGATCCGTGGGCGAGGCAAGTTCTGTGCAGCCCCAAAGAACGGACAGCGGATCTCCCGTCTCGTATGACGTTTAGCTTTCGCATCGTTTCTTGTCCGCCTGCCCTCTTATCGTCTCTTTTTCTCGGCCTGTGAACTCCTCCTCCTCCTCCTCCTCCTTTCCCTCCTCCTCCTCATCCTCCTCCTCATCCCTTCATCATCCTTCCTCTCCACTTCCTCATCCATGTCAGTATCCTCCATATCTTCGCCCTGCGATCGGATTTATCATTACACGCCATGCCGAACGTCCACTCCTCTTTGTAATATCCATATGGTGGCCAAGCTGGCGTGGGCAAGTTGCGGGGAACCCCACCAAGCGGGGCCAGATGTTTTTTTCCTCGTTTTTAGCGGCGCCATGCTTCAGAGCCCTTTGCAAGCGCGCGATCGCCGCATCCAGACCTCGGTGCGCGACCCGCCGGTGGGCATAGACGAGTCACCGATCACCGATCATCAACCTCCAGTGCGCAGCCGAAAAAAAACATTGTCGCTTGCAGGTGCGCAGGATCGGCCGCACGTAAGGGGTGGCCCTTCGCCGGGGTGACCTCTGGTGCGGGCCCACGGGGGTCCTTCGATCGCCGAGCGCAGCGCGATAGTAGCGTTTTGCGCGTTTGAACTGGGCCCGCCCCGCGGCCCCCCTAAGGACGCGCGCCAAAGGTCAGTTTTGCCCAGGGTCACTCTTGCGTGTAGGCGACAGGAGCAGGGGTAGGGAAGCTGAGGGCGAGGGGATCAACAGAGCTTCCCAAGCAGAGTCAGACTGCCTTGAGGAATCTCAGCGGCCCCCGCGCCGCAGAACGACATGGGGCCAGGGGGCCATGGCGACCTGCCGAGGTCCCCCGAGCTCCCCCCAGGGAAGAGTAGTGAGACGGATCCTGCCCCTCCCCCCTCCTCTCCCCTCCTCGTCGTCCCCAGTTATGCCCACACCGCTCGCGATGTCGCAGGTCCCTGGGGCCGTCGAAAACCATTCAGGGTAGAAGCCAGTCCCTGGGAAAGGGGGTCCAGACCTCTGGGGATCCACGGCGCACACTCGATGAAGGCAAGGAGGAGGACGAGGAGGAGAAGGAGGAGGAGGAGGAGCAGGAAAGGAGGAGGAGGAGGAGGAGGAGGAGGAGGATAGTCGAGGATCGCCTGCCGGCCAGCATAGTCGAGGAGTCCAGCACCGCTTCTTTCTTTCAAAGCGGACTGCAAGATCTTCTCCGGCACAGCGCCAGCAGCGGGGACCCATAGTGGGCGAGGATATTCAGCCCGCGCGTCCCCTGGCAAAGGCACCCTCTGAGCACGTATGCTTCATGGAAGGTCACCGAGGGTGTCGTTCTCGCTGGAAAAAGGAGGCAAAGGAGGAGGGCGACCACCGGCAGTGCCCCTCAGGGGCAACATTCGGGGGGAATAGGCTCACGGGGGACGCACCGACCCCCAATCGCCCATTCATCGCCGATGGGGGCCTGATAGCCCACCCCGCCCAGGAGTTTGTGGATTTGCTATCGGGGGCCTATCGGCGATCTATCGGCGTGGTATCGCTCCATGTTTCCGCCCCTGAGCTGGTCCCCCCCAGGTGGATCTTCGTCGGTTGGCTTTCGGATCACAGCTCGGATCTCCGGCGGCCGTTCGGGACGATCCGGGCACCCTCAGAACGCTCTCGGCGAGGCGCAGCCGTTGGAAGCCGAGGCTGAAAAGTTGCCGAAAACTGCGACACCGTCCGAAAACCCCGAATCTCGAACCTGAGCCTGAATCCCCCCCCCCACTAATGTTGCCCTCGATCCCCGCCCCCGGTCGTTGCCTCTCAAGAGAGGGCGCAGGGTGAGGGGCAGGAGGAGGGGTGCCCGCAGACAGGACGGGGGGGGGGAAGGCGCAGCGGGAGCGAAAGCACGAGAGCGGGGGGGGGCCCGGGAGTGGGAGCCCGCGCCGCCGAAGCGGGTCTCGGAGCAGGCGGCGTCGGAGCATCGCGCCGCACCGCCGGCGCATCGGCAGTGCGGCGCTGTCCCCGGCCGTACGTGCAGTGCCAGGGGCGGCGGCCCGTCTTCCCATCCTACCATCATAGGGGGATGCGAAGTCCCTGAAGACGGGACGGGGTGGGCACGAGCGGGCATCATAGCCGGCTCAAAATCAAAAGAGGCATCATAGCCTCATCAATCAAGATTGATCCACTCACGGATCCACTGCAATTGATTTTCATTGAATTCATTCCATGCGTAGCATGCTCTCCCCTCGATCCATCGAAAGATCACGCCGGAGCCTTTGTTTGAGGGTCTTCGGGCCAGCAAGGGCCCTCGGCGGCCGAAGACGGCCAAGAATGTCCCGTCGTGCTTTTCCCATACACAGGCATGTCGACGACAACAGCAACAACAGCAACAGCAGCAGCAACAACAACAGCAAACACAAAAAACAGTTCAACTGCATTCGTCCTTGTATGCTCGCGTGCCATGCATCACGTATATCCCAAACCCTCGATACCCGCCCTCTTCGTCTTCGATCGAACCCGCTTACTGGGATATCTTTCTTACCTGCAACGTGTATTTCGTGCAGCCCCTAAGGCAGGGGAAGAGAGGACGGATGGAAGGAAGGGACAAGGGGCAGGCGGGTTGCTGAAGCATGCCTCCTGCATGAATCGCGAGGAAGTCTCGAGCGATATCGCGATTCCCACATGAATCGTGATGATGTCCAGAGCGAGAGCTTGATTCCTGAGTGTCGAGGGCGCGGCGTCTGAACAAATTGCGAGGAAGTCCCACGTGAGAGCGCAATCCTTGCATCAGTTGTGAGGATGTCCAGCGCGAGAGCGCGATTTGGCCTGCCAGCGGCAGCGCTGATCGGCGGCAACCCGACCCCGATTCCTAACTGAAATGCGAGGAAGTCTCATGCGAGAGCGGGGGTCCTGGCTAAATTGTGAGGACGTCTCAGGCGGGAGCCGTTGTTGTTGTAACCCGGGGGCCAAGGGCACAGTTTGAGCTTCAAGATTTTCCCGGATATTTAAAAACAGGGTGCGAGCGCCGGAAAGGGCATTTCAATCGAAAACATAGAATGTGCACCGGAAGGGGGGGTCAACAATCATTATTTTCCGTAGTGAGAGTTCAACAGCAGCAGCAGCAACAACAACCATCTTCAGACTGTTCGCTCTTACCTGCTCGCGGACAACTCAACACATATATCCCGGACCCTCGATACCCGCCCTCGTCGTCTTCGATCGCACCTCTTAGGAGTGGATATATTTCGTATATGCAGCGTGTATTTTGTGAAGCCCCTAAGGCAGTGGAAGCAAGGACGGATGGAAGGAATGAATGAGGGGGGGAGGAGGATGGAGCACGGGATTAACAGGATGGGGGCTAGGAGCAGAACGCCCGTGGCAGAACCAGACGGGCGGGTAGACCCTAACAGGCTGGTCGGGAAGGCGGGACCAAGCAGCCAGGTCGAACAGGCTGCTTTCAAGCGTGATTCTCACATGAATCGCGAGGAAATCTCAAGCGATAGCGCGATGCCCACATGAATCGTGAGGAAGTCCACAGTCCACAGCGAGAGCGTGATTCATGAGTGTCGAGGGCGCGGCGTCTGAATAGATGGCGAGGGCGTCCCGCGCGAAAGCGCGATTTGGAAAAACATTGTGAGGAAGTATCTGGCGGGAGCCGTTGTTGTTGCTGCAGTTCGGGAGCCAACAACGTAGTTTGATGACCTTGCGTTCCCCTTAGACAAAGCAGGGTGCGAGCCCCGGAAGAAGCACTTGAATTGAAGAATCCAATGGTTACCAGAGGGGAGCAACAATTAATATTCATAAATGGGAATTCACCACCACAACAACAACAACAGCAACAACAAACATGTTTTGGTTGTTCGCTCTTCTCTGTTCGCGGGCCATCCACCATGTATATCCCGGACACTCGATATCCGCCCATTTTCGTTTCCAATCGTGCCCCTTGTGGGGTAAATATTTGTCCCAACCCTCCTTGGTTGGGTATTCGTTTTGAATAGAGCACTGCGGTCTCCAGTCCTTTTTCCGCCTCCTCCTCCTCCTCCTCCCGCCTCCTCCCGCATCCTCATGCCTTCTCTTCGCCGTCGCTGGGGGGCTGCGATCTGCGAAACTGTCGCCACTTTCGAGGGCTGCTGGTGGGTCCTGCGGAGTGAGGCACCGCGGTGATCTGAGCGGGACCTCGCCGTCCTTGAGGGGCTGCGATCTGCGACGTTGTTGCCACTTTCGAGGGCTGCTTGTGGATCCTGCGGAGTGAGGCACCGCGGGGATCTGAGCGGGACCTCGCCGTCCCTGGGAGGTTGCGATCTGCGACGTTGTGGCCACTTTCGAGGGCTGCTGGTGGGTCCTGCGAAGTGAGGCACCGCGGGGATCTGAGCGGGACCTCGCCGTCCCTGGGGGGCTGCGATCTACGTATTGTCGCCACTTTCGAGGGCTGCTGGCGGGTCCTGCGGAGTGAGGCACCGCGGGGATCTGAGCGGGACCTCGCCGTCCCTGGGGGGCTGCGATCTGCGACAATGTCGCCATTTTCGAGGGCTGCTGGTGGGTCCTGCGGAGTGAGGCACCGCGGGGATCTGAGCGGGCCCTCGCCGTCCCTGGGGGGCTGCGATCTGCGACATTGTCGCCACTTTCGGGGGCTGCAAGTGGGTCCTGCGGACTGAGGCACCGCGGGGATCTGAGCGGGACCTCGCCGTCCCGTGGGGTTGCGATCTGCGACACGGTCGCCACTTTCGAGGTCTGCTGGTGGGTCATGCGGACTGAGGCATCGCGGGGATCTGAGCGGGACCTCGCCGTCCCTGGGGGGCTGCGATCTGCGACAATGTCGCCAAGTTCGATGGCTGCTGGTGGGTCCTGCGCAGTGAGGCATCGCGGGGATCTGAGCGGGACCTCGCCGTCCCTGGGGGGCTGCGATCTGCGACATTATCGCCACTTTCGAGGGCTGCTGGTGGGTCCTGCGGAGTGAGGCACCGCGGAGATCTGAGCGGGACCTCGCCGTCCCTGGGGGGCTGCGATCTGCGACATTGTCGCCACTTCGACGGCTGCTGGTGGGTCCTGCGGAGGGAAGCACCGCGGTGATCTGAGCGGGACCTCGCCGTCCCTGGGGGGCTGCGATCTGCGACGTTGTTGCCACTTTCGAGGGCTGCTGGTGGATCCTGCGGAGTGAGGCACCGCGGGGATCTG